TAACTAATTTATGTGGTACCTTTAATCAACAGGAAACACTGCTCTCAATATTGTCTAATTCTGTCTTCTTAGCAGTGGGCTGGAGGTGGAGCTGGAGCTGGCTTTACACTGAGGAGGTGAAGGCAACCAGCATGAAGACTTGCACAAGACGTTCTCCTCTCCAGCCGGGTCAGATCCTCCCTGACAGTCGTACGCGGCTTCAGAATAAGAAGGTATTAAAATATCGTCCTTGCTGTGGTGCGTGATGTCAGCAAGGGGGGAGCTATGTGTGAGCAGAGGCAGGGAGTATACCAGCAATGTCTGTACCTTCCTCTCGATTTTGTTGTCAACCTAAAACTACTCTAAAACAATAGTTTTTTAAATTTTTATTTATTTATTTAAAGATTTTATTTTTCTCCTTTTTCTCCCCAAAGCCCCCCGGTACATAGTTGTATATTTTGTTGTGGGTCCTTCTAGTTGTGGCATGTGGGACGCTGCCTCAGCGGTCTGATGAGCAGTGCCATGTCCACACCCAGGATTCGAACCAACGAAACACTGGGCCGCCTGCAGCGGAGTGCGCGAACTTAACCACTTGGCCACGGGGCCAGCCCCTAAAACAATAGTTTTTTTAAAAATTACATGTTACAAAAAAACCTAAAAGGAATGCTTGATCTTGCAACAGATGAAGGACATTAGTGGAACAAAATGAAAAATTTGAATAGGATCTATAGATAATAGTATATCAATGTTAATTTCTTTATTTTGATAATTGTATTGCGGTTATGTTAGATGTTAATGTTTGGGGAGTACGAACGGAGAGCATATGGAAACACTTTGTACTGTTTTTGCAAGTCTGAAATTATTTCAAAATGAAAAATTTAAAAAGTAATAAAAGATGTGGGGGATCAGTGAGCATTGTAGGACTCCCTGGAATTGTCCTGGAAAATAGACCTGGAAGCTGGGTTTTGGAGGATGGATGAGGATTTAATGGTTAGAGGGAGATTTAATTGGACATAGAAAGAAAACATGTAAAGCAATGCAAAATCCTTGTCTTCTAAGTCTAATAAAAAAATAAAATGTATGTTTATATATGCAAAAAATATCTTTCCTTGTAGTGTCCATGGGCCATTCTGGGAGTTGAACTGCAACCATAAATGGTGAGAGGGAAGGGTGTGAACTCATAGTTTCAGATTAGCAAGATACTCCCAAATCCAGGGGATTTGTAGGAGATTCCAGCCTTCCCGCTCAAATCCTTTTCCCAGAGGGTAACTTGGCACAATTCAACGCTTCCACTGCTTTCAGGCTGAGAAGCTGGAGGAAAGCTTGTGTGAATGAAAGCCGCTTGGGCTGAGGGAATTCTCTCATTTTATAGGACTTTTTTTTTTTTTTTTACATGATTGCTAAAATGTTTCATTGCTTGTGGATATCATAGATGTTTTGGTGTGAAAGCATGAATTTAGCCACAGAGAGCCATGCTAAACTAGAGTTATTCTCAATAGACATCACACCAAATAGAGGAAATGTTCATGTGTGAAAAGCTACAAAGACTGAATAAATGCAGGATCTCCAAACAAGGCCCAACTTTGCCACAACTCCAATACCATAAGAATAGAATTCCTGGATTTTTCGAATGATACAGTGACGGCAGTGCTGAAACAAGGAACATGACTTGTTGGGGTAGTTACAGTGGAAGGAAACTGTCTCAAGTTTCACAAACTCTTGTATGAAGAATTGCAATAAATTTGGAGCCCTGGGCATGCCAGAGGAAGACCTATGCTGAAGGATGACTTCTTCTTAAGGTTAAAACTGAGTGAAAGGGATTTTAAAATACTGTATTTTCTAAAAATAAAATAACTAGCACATTTAACAACCCAAGGGCGTTTGGAAAAACCTCTTTTGGCCTTTTCTATAGATCCTTCGAATTCATCTAGCACTATTCCTTAATCAAACTAGTCAACTCATCTTTACCCAAACTCGCCATGTGCATTTCCACTTCTATATATTTCCCCGTGTGATCCTTCCTTACTGGAATGCCCTTATCTTGTCTATTTGTTAGCTGAACTCCCACTTTTTCTGTGAAGCCTTTGACTACTGCAATACACAATGACAGTTCTTTCCTTTTATAGCACTTGTTAGCAATAGATTACTTGGAATTATTTATTGAGTTCTCATCATGTGCCAAATACTATGCTAAGCACTTCCGTGCATGATCGCATTTAATCCTCACAGCCACCCGAGAGGTAGGCACTATCATCAGCCCCATTTTGTGGATAATGGAACAGAGATTGAGAGGGGCCAAGTACCTTGCATGGGTAACACAGCTATTAAGTGTCAAGGGCAGCATTAGATTCAGACCTTTCTCCATCCAAGGTCTTTGTGCTGTCTATGACTACACTCTACTTTCTGTAATAGTTATTTAACAGTTCCATATACTATCTAATACACACCGTTCTCTCCACTCTGATGTTAGGGATAATGTATTTTAACATTTTATATCCCTAGCAACCAGTTTCTTGCTCTGAACACTGATGGTGAAGATGACATTTTCATCTTTATGTAAGTCTAGAGCTCACATATGGCCTTTTTGTAAACTTTATTTCAAATACTCCATTAGAAATGATTTTTGACTTAATTTTTATTAATACAAAAATACATATATATGTTCAGCAATGAACTAGGTTTTGGAGAAAAATGAAATATAGCTATGTAAGTGGTTGAACCATAATATCAGCCAGTTTATGATAAAGTGCCAAGAGACTAGTTCAGAGAGTAAATTCTGTAGAGAAGAAAGATAATGAATTGTTAGCTAGAGTATTAAATAAATATTTCCTAAGGGAGGGTAGAAATAAGTTTGGAAAGCTGTATAGAAAGGTTGGATACAGATGAGATGTGAGATAACATTTCATATTGGGTAACAGAATGAACAAAGACTCAAGGCTCCAAAAGGTTGTTAAAGATGTGAGAATGGGAACATGGCCATGGTATCTGCTGTTCCTACCATATAATGCATTACCTGAAAAGAGACAGCTTAACAGATAATGGGAATGTATGAAAGATTCAGCCAGGGCATCAACTCAGGAATGACACCCGGCCAGATCAGTACGTTGTCTTCCAGGATGCAGTGTACACTGCACCATTGGCCTGTACCTGCACAGAGGTGTACTCAATAGCTAGAACACGTGGAACCAGAAACCAAAGAGTAGAAGTGGGACTGATGTTACTCACAATTAGTCCCAGTGACCTACACGTATAATACACTTTTCCTACTTGTGACTTTAGACTCTTCTAGGTTAGAGAGCCTGCTTCCCAGGGAAAGGGACAAAAGAATTCCACTAGGGGACACTGAAGCTTCCACTGAACCTGAAACTATGATTGTTGTCTAGTTTCATTGGTCTCCTTACACCGTTGGAACAGCTTGGGGGAGAAAAATTATACTGGTGGAGTAACTAATTGTGGTTCTCATGAAGAGCTAGGATGGCTTGTATACAATTAGGGCAGAAAAGAATATATCTGGAACCCAGGAGATTTATTCACTCGAGCATCTTTTGATTAACAGTGAATGGGCAATTACAAGACATCAAGAAGTCCCATTCCTCAGGAATAAAAGTCTGGGTTATCCCATCTGGGAAGCAACTTAGGCCAACTCAAGTGCTGACTAAAGGTGAGGAAAATCTACAATGGGTGGTAGCAAAGGGAGATTATTAATATCAATTAAAGCCTCAAGATCAGAGGTAACATTCCTGTAACCCTCCTTTAGAGTGATTTTTAAGGGACTGGGGGCAGCCATTACTTTAAAGAGTCAATGATAGAGTACAACTAACAGGGGGCATCAACAGATGCGGGTGATGTAAAGGGTATACACTTGTAGCCATGGCACACCTCTGGTTACAGTCTCAGATGGAGTATATCGTTTCTACAAGCTCGGATTTATACTGATGGTATTCTACAGAAAGCCTTCACTGTGAATCTCTCAGTTTTTCTGCCTTGGGGACTTCTCTGAAGCTGGAGAAGCATAGAGGGAATTGAGGAGCAGTTACTGCCCTTCAGGGAAGCCTTGAACCAATGGAAGACAGAAAGCAGTGGATAAATGTCTCAGTCTACTATCCTTCAGACAGACACTTCTGAAAGGCATTCTTTATACTTCCCAGTGGTCCCAAGGAACTGAGCCCCTGCTGTTTACAATACTTAACCTTTTCTTTTCTCCCTCTCTCTCATCCCTCATTCCTGCTTCCTAGGATCACATCCAAAATAAACTATTGGCACCCAAGTCATTTTCTCAAGCTTTGCTTTCAGAGTAACCCAAACTCTGATACCCAATAATCTCCATCATGTTGATATGAAGACTCTTTCATAATGAAGGTATCTCCATAATGATGACATTTTCAGTGTCTTACCCTGATTAGAGACAGATCTTTATAGCCCTAGGTACTGATTTCTTCTTCCTTTTGGTATTTTAACAGAGGGGTGGTTCAGAAGTCTGAGTTAGAGCAAAGAAAAGTCACTAGGCTCCAAAGGCTCCTCCTTTCTAACAAAGTCACTTCATCAACCTGAGAGCTTCCTTTGTTCCATAATTATATAAATGATTTTTGCCCCCTTGACTTATAAATATAGAGGTTTATGGGGTGGTGAGCCTCTTTAATGGAACATCGGGCATAGTGCTTGTAGACCATACATACAGGAAAAATGACAAAATGGGACTTTAGGGGATTTTACCAACACTACTGTTTTCTCTTGCAAGAAAACTTTTCTTATACTTTTTTATTTTACCGATATACCTTAGCCTTATACCAATATAGCTGCCTTGCATGGTGCTAGTGGTATGTATCTGTGACCATGTTTGCACAATACTTCTCAGAAAAACAATCCCAAAGTCACCAGTTTTTAAGTAGTTTGATCATTTGTGGAACCAAATGGGATAATTTAAGGAATTTGAGGAGTAATTATGAAAAGTTCTCTAAATATTCTTACCTAACTTACATGCTGGCACAGGCTTCCACTTGCCATCTTCTTGGCATGAACTCTTTCCATGAAGAGAAGCAGGATAAAAGCCTTCATCACACGTATATGAAATATCGTCTTCATAGCCTCCATAGACACACCTATCAATGGGGTCTATTTCACTCGTGATTCGGATATTTGTTGCCTCTGGTTTGGGGCAGCATATCCCTGGTAGGTAAAAAGTGATGTTCATGTTTAACGAAATCACCAGGAGGACATGCCTATGCTGGAGACCTGACTCCACCTTATAGAAGATTTTAATAGTCAAACTCATAGAAGCAGAGAGTAAAATGGTGCTTTCCAGGGGCTTGGGGGGAGGGGAAATGGGAAGTTATTCAACAAGTACTAAGTTTCAGTCACACAAGATGAATAAGTTCTAGAGAGCTGCTGTACAAGCTAGTGCCTATAGTTAACAATATTGTATTGTACACTTAAAAATTTGTCAAGAGGGTAGATCTCATATTAAGTGTTCTTACTACAATAAAAAAAGAAAGGAAATTGAAGGAAGCATTATACCAAGAATCTTCTCCAAATTCTGTCATTGTTTTGTTGAGTTACTGTCACTTACTTTCCCTCTGTCTTTCTTCATTAAAAGTCTTTAAAAGGAGGTGTTGATTTTGGTAATGATGGATTAGGCAGTTCAGACTCACCTTTCCTTTGAGAAAAATTAGACAAGCTTGAGGTGAGGAGGAAGCCATGAAGAATTAAGGTGCCAAGACAAGACTTTTATTATCTTAATTGTCCTTCTTGTAAGGAGAAAGGAAAACATCCACTGAGATGTGTCTGGAAGTTAGAGCTGCTTTATTTGTAGAAGTATATTAATTCTCCTCTTAAAAATATGGCTGAGTGGCTAAGAAGCTGATGAGAAATCAATGTGTGTGTGGTGGAGGGGGTTGCTTGCTGATAACCCCTAACTCTTGGGGGATCTTCGGAGCTACACCCTGAATTAAGGATAATCTATAAATAGACCAAATGTCTAGGTACTGAAGCCTAAGTTTGTGTCATTACAATCTCTGATTGGATTTGGGTCATTTGGAACTCCTAGTGTCCCTTGCCACCTGCGACAAGCAAACCTTCAACAGGAGACAAGACAAGATTATTAAAAGCCAAGGAAAGCAAAAGACAATAGTAACAGACCTGAGAGTATCCAAAAAATGAAATACTAAACATTGATTTAACAATAACTTTGCCTGAGCTGACCACGTGGCATAATGGTTAAGTTTGCGCACTCTGCTTTGGCGGCCTGGGGTTCGCAGGTTTGGATCCTGGATGCGGACCTAGAATGGCTTGCCGAGCCACACTGTGGGGGCATCCCATATAAATTAGAGGAAGACTGGCACAGATGTTAACTTAGCCACAAGCATCCTCAAGGAAAGAGAAGGATTGACAACAGATATTAGCTCAGGGCCAATCTTCCTACAAAACAAACAAACAAAATGCATCCAAAAAAACTTTGCCTTATTATGCAGAAGAAAATAAAAGGCAACTTGGAGAATTTAGGTAGAGAAATCAATACCACAAATCCACTACAAGTGGGAATTCTGAAGCTGAAAAGTATAATAATTAAAGTTAAGAAGTCAATTAATAATTAATATCAGATTATACATAGATAAGAATTAGAGGACAGAATTAAGAAGACCAATTTAGTGGACTTCATGTTCATAATAAAGCACTGAGAAACAAGAATTTAAAAAACACCAATAAGAGCATAGGAAATTCAGAAAACCCTGTATAAAGGCCTAACATAAACGTAACTGAAATACCAGAAGGAGAGAAGAGAGAAAATAGGGCAGAAATAGTATTTGAAGACAAAATTTATTTGAAGTTGAAATTTGCTAAAATCAAAGAAAGGCATCAAACCTCAGATTCTAGAAGCACTATGAATCTCAAGCAGGATAAACACAAAGAAACCAACCCAGGTATGTCTGAGAAAAACTGCTGGAAAGCAAAGACAAGAATATCTTAAAAGCAGTCAGATGGAAAAAACAGATGGTCTTGGAAGGATCAAAGATATGATCAAGAGCAAAATTCTTTTTTTTCATTTTAAAGATTTTATTTTTCTTTTCTCTCCCCAAAGCCTCCCGGTACATAGTTGTATATTCTTCGTTGTGGGTCCTTCTAGTTGTGCCACGTGGGCCACTGCCTCAGTGTGGCTTGATGAGCGGTGCCATGTCTGCACCCAGGATCCGAACCAGCGAAACCGTGGGCCGCCGAAGCAGAGCGTGCAAACTTAACCACTTGGCCACGGGGCCGGCACCAAGAATAAAATTCTTGACAGAAACAATTGAAGGTGGAAGACAATGGAAGGGAATCTTTGATGTGGCCAAAGAAAATAACTGCCAATCTAAACTTTTATTTTCAGCAGATATATCTTCAAATGTTAAAGTGAAATAAAGGCATGTTAAGACAAACAAAAAAGAAATTATTTATCATCAGTAGGCTGTCACTAAAGGAAACTAAAGAATGTTCATTAGTCAAAGGAAATGATTGTAGATATAAGAATTAGGAGAGAAGAAGAAGCAAAAAAAATTGTAATTATGTGGATAAATCTAAACAAATTTAACTTATTAAAACAATAACAATAACCACAGTAATAATAATGATAATAATAATATATTATAGATTTTAAGACACATATAGAATTGAAATACACAAAAACAAAAGCATATAAATTAGGTGGGATTAAATCAAGTTAAAGATTTCTAAGGCTTTGCATTGCTCAGGAAGAAGCAAAAGTAATAAGCTATGTTAGATTAAAAAGTAGGAATGCATAAACTCCAAAAAAATAGTGAAAAGTACATAAATACCAAGTAGATAGGTAAAAAAATGGGAAAAGTAAAACAATCAATTTAAAAGAAGAAAATATATAAGACAAGCAGAAAATATAGGAAATAGTAAGATGCTAGATATAAATCCAAATATACTGAGAACTACATTAACTGTACACAGACTAAGTGCTCTAATCAAGTCATGAAGATTGTCAAGCAGGATTAAAATATCTAACTATATCCTGCTTCCAACATACACTTAAAACATAAAATTACAGAAACTTTAAAGATTTTATTTTTTCCTTTTTCTCCCCAAAGTCCCCCAGTACATAGTTGTATATTTTAGTTGTGTGTACTTCTAGTTGTGGCATGTGGGACACTACCTCAGCGTGGTTTGATGAGCAGTGCCATGTCTGTGCCCAGGATTTGAACCAATGAAACACTGGGCCACCTGCAGTGGAGCACGATGTCCCACATGCCACAACTAGAAGGACCCACAACTAAAATATATAACTATGTACTGGGGGGCTTTTGGGAGAAAAAGCAGGGTGAAAAAAAGCTATTGGAGTTATATTAATATAAAAAGTAGAATTTAAAGATAATTACAATGATAAAAAGCATCATTTCATAACAATAAAAGGTTAAATTCCCCAGAAAAATATACTACTCTAAATTTGTATGCGTCTAGTAGCATAGCCTCAAAATACATAAAGCAAAAAATTGTTTTAAAAGAGACTAAAAAGATATGCAAATCCACAAACAAACCTTTCTTTCTTTCTCAGTAACTGATAGAACAAACAGACAAGAAATCAGTATAGAAATGGATATAGATTTGAACAACACCATTAACAAAGTGGATCTAATTGTCATACATACAATATTGCACCCCAAATTGCAGGATACACATCTTTTCAATTGCACACTGAATATTTACAAAAAAAAAATAACTATATGCTTTGCAATGGAGCAAATCTCAACAAATTTTAAGGACTGAAATCATATGGAGTACTATTTTGAAAAATTTGGGATTGTCTACTAATTTTGCACATATTTATATTCCCATGTCAAGGCAATTTCACTCTTGGATACGTGATCAGCACACATGTATTACATGTATGCCCAGAGATGTATACAAGCATGCTCAAAGCAGCATTATTCTTAATAACTCTAAACTGGAGATGATCCAAATACTCATCAAGAGCAGAATGAATAAGTAAGTTGTATATTTTTACAAGAGAATACTAAACAGAAATAAAAATAAACATACCACAGCTCCAACCCATAATATGGATGAATCTCATAAAACATCATGTTGATCAAAAGAAGCAAAATCGAAAGACCAAATAATTCTGTTTTTATAAAGTTCAATAATAGGTGTTAGAAGTTAGCAAAACGTTTACCTGTGGGCAGGAAAGTGGGATTGGTGATTGGCTAGAGAAATGAGGGATATCTGGGGTAGTAATAGTGACCTATTTTTTGACTCTCATTGTGGTTACATGAGTGTGTTTACTATGTACTTTTATGTGTGAGTTAGTCTTCAAAAAAGTGTTGTAAAACTTAGGTGCTAAAGCAAGACTGTATAAAATGTTAATTTCCAAAAACTTTTCATGGATAACAATAAGTAAATTCTCATTTCATTTCTTTGTGATCTTCCTGGGGGTACATCATTCTGGAGCTGCCTATTAACTTACACCTCCTGGCAAGACTTTATTAACCTATGGATACCTCTCATTCTCTGTCCTCCAGGATGAAGAAATAAATACTTTCATAGTTTTATATCAGCTTTGGAGATAATACATAGGATGAAACTTAGCTATTGCTTAAGGTCAGGATTTTTCTCTTTTGATGCAAATTGAAGAGAAAGAACTATAGAACTTTCATTTGGATTTCTGCTTCTGGTCAAGATGGAGTGACAGGGACAGGATTCACCCTCCAGCCTGAAACAATTTAAAAGGACAAAAGGAAAAAATAAGTGAAATAGTGTTTTTAGACATAAAGTATCAAGCAACACAAGACAGTAATACCAAATAGTGGGGAAACAAATGAGGAAAGCTCTTTGATGGCTGCAGTCTGGAGAGTTTTCACGCTCCCGCCAGATTGTGGAGAACCAAGGCAGAGGCTTCTGCTCTGCCTGAATATTCTTAAGGACTTAAGGAAACAGAGTTGAGAGTCCATGGAAGGTGAAAGAAGTCAGGGTTCACAGGGCAGAGTAATGAAGAGGAAACAGTTGATCAGAGAGAGAGAGAATTGGACCTCTTCAGAAGATCCTCTTTCAGTTTCAGCTGAGTACTGATCAGTACATGCATGTAAGGAAATACCAATGCTAGGTGAAGAGCTGCCCAAAAGGAGCAGGGAGAACAATCCTGGAGCTCACATAGGCCTGGCGTGGTTCATGTTCCC